GGAAATGTGCATGTGAAAATGTGCACATGGCTGTCTATGTGATTTTCTTTTGTGCAATCTTTGATTTCCCATCTGGGCACGCTGCTGCGGAGCACACCTAGGTAGCTTTGGGTCAGTCAGGAAGGGAATCTTCCTAAAGACCATTTAAAGGATTTTGCATTAATTCTGGCTCATCTAATCATGGCTATTACTTACCGAGTCTTCAGCAAGTTTTAAAATACTTTTAGTTTTCTATCCGTACAACGTTGGGGAACTAATACACAATTTTTGTGGTGGCTCATAACTCAAAACCACAACTGAGTTTTATATTTTGTCTGAAGAGATTGTACAGAGGTAATATACATCCACTTTTTTTGATTAACTTAAATCTTTATTCATGCCTTAAACATGTTAGAGTCATTTATTTGCCAAGTTAATGTACTGTGTGAGTTTTGCAGAGGATGGCTTTCTGACAGTGCATTTTATTGCACCTGCAGTCAGGCAAGAATCAAGAAGGTGAATTGAGGATGATGAGTACAGATTTCAGTAAAAAAGGGGAAAAGATGATGGACTGACTGGGTAGGAAACATTGCCAGTATGCTCAATTGAGAAAAATAATTGGCATCTATTGGAAATAAGTTTAATTATATTTCTTTCTGTTTTTTAAGAGATGAAATTGGATTAATACCCTGCCCTGAAGCCAGGTATAACCGGAGCCCTATCGTCCTGGTAGAAAACAAGCTTGGTGTGGAGAGCTGGTGTGTCAAGTTTCTTTTGCCGTATGTCCACAATAAACTTCTCCTCTACAGACAAAGAAAACAGTGGCTGAACAAAGATGGTAAGTTACTCAGTTGGAAAACAGTATCTTGTGTGATTCTTAATGCACATTTTTTATCATAGAATCATTTAGGTTGGAAAAGACCCTTAAGATCATCTAGCCTAACTGTAAACCTAACATTGCTAAGTCCACTAAACCATGTCCCTAAGTGCCGCATCTACACATACCTCCAGACTTTACAGGTCTAAAGTACCTCCAGGAGTGGTGACTCCACCACTTCCCTGGGCAGCCTGTTCCAATGCTTGACAACCCTTTTGGTGAAGAAATTTTTCCTAATAGCCAATCCCTTGCAGTAACTTGAGGCCATTTCCTCTTGTCCTGTCACTTGTTACTTGGAAGAAAAGATTGAGACCCATCTTGCTACTCCCTCCTTTCAGGTAGTTGTAGAGAGCGATAAGGTCTCCACTCAGCCTCCTTTTCTCCAGGCTCAACAATCCCAGTTCTCTCAGCTGCCCCTTATAAAACTTTTTCTCTAGACCCTTCACCAGCTTCATTGCCCTTCTTTGGACATGCTCCAGCATCTCAATGTCTTTCTGGTGGCGAGGAGCTCGAAACTGAAAACAATATTCAAGGTGCGGCCTCACCAGTGCTGAATACAAAGGCACAATCACTTCCCAGGTCATACTGGCCATGCTGTTCCTGATACAAGCCAGGATGCTGTTGGCCTTCTTGGCCACCTGGCCACACTGCTGGCTCATGTTCAGCCTGCTATTGACCAATACCCCCAGGTCCTCTTCCACTGGGCAGCTTTCCAGCCACTCTTCCCCAAGTCTGTGCTTTTGCATGACGTTGTTGTGACCCAAGTGCAGGTCCTGGCACTTGGTCTTGTTGAACCTCATGCAATTGGTCTCGGCCCATTGATCCAGCCTCTCCAGATCCCTTTGCAGAGCCTTCCTACCCTCAAACAGATCAGCACTGCCACCCAATTTCGTGTTGTTTGCAAGCTTACTGAGGGTGCACTTGATCTCTTCATCCAGATCATTTACCTTTTTTGACACTACACTGGCCCTTCTTTAAGCCAGTTTAACCTGTTCTGGAAGAACAGTGTTACTGGGAGGGAGGACAGGCTTCGGATTGTGTATCTTGGCAACTTAAACAAGTTGTAGGGTTGCTTAGTTGAAAATTTAAATCCTTTCTTTCTTGCCCAGACTGGAAGGGTTAGAGGGAGATGACATTTTGATGAGTGATTTAGGGAAGTGATGCTAATCTTTACAGAAGGAATTTTGTCCTGCTTCCTGGATTCAGAAGGAAAACTGTGGTGACGTGTGGATCTAAAGAAAGAAACAAGCACCGTGTTTTTTGGATGTAGGGGTACCAGAAATCATTAGTCTGTACAGCTCGATAATTGTAAAGCTCTATTTCCTTTTCAGTCTTTTTGTTTTGGTTTGGTTTTTAGCTTGTTTTACTTGAATGAAAAATACCTTAGTACGTGTTGTCTATTTTGAATTTTTTAAAGAGTCATGAACAGGTGTGACATACTTGATACTTGACTGCTTATGGAGTGTTCTGTTCAGAGTAAGAATGAAAAAGGGAAACTGTAGTTTAAGAAACTGATTTTTTTTGTTCATGGTTTCAAGTCTATTCTAAATAGCAGTCAGCATAAAAATGTTCTTACTCTAGGCTTGTCTCAGTGTCTTATTTCTAGGGTTTATTCTTATTATTTTGGAGGCTTCTTTCTAGGATCTTCTACCTCCTATGGCATTTTTCACATTTCTGTGTCCCAGAAAGAGAGATATCTTTTCTGCTGAAGAACACCCTGGGACCACTGAGAGTTCAGATCTTTAGCATCTCACATGCACCTGGTTTTCCGTTTGGGACTGTTTTCATGTTTAACTTTTTTTCTGTTTGCATGAAATGTAGCCTAATGAATAAAGCACTGGCTGTGTCCATTGTGCTTTTAAATTACTGGCCCATTATATTCTTCCTAGAAAGTACTCGACAGCCACCATCCATTAGGTTTTGTTGATTGCAGCTATAGCAGAAACAGTCTCCCTTGTTGCTTGATGATCTATTGAGTTATCTTTTACATGGTGGGATGCTGGCAGACATCTGATGCAGACTGTAGCATCTGGTCATTGTATAACTAACACTCTGTACCGTCTTGAACAGATAACAGGTTTTGAGAGTAAGTCTGAGTGGATCAGGAAAAGAGGTCTGGTTAGTAATACCTCTTTCTTGATATAAGTGCCATTTGCTTTTCTCTTGAATTTTTTTATTACTATAGTCTGTTTCACTTTTAAGTGATGAAGCCAGCTGTGCATTTACCCTCATTAAAGCATAGGGTAAGGGACAGTCAGATGGTGTTAGCTGAGTCTGTAAATGTGCACTTGATCTTGTTTTGCATTCAGGGATGACATGGAGAAAGAAAATTAGGGTCTTTGGTGAGTCTCAGCTAGGGAGTATTTTGAGGGCAATGATTGTTGGGGTGGGGTCGAGTTTTTAAACATACTTTGATTCCTTATTACAAACATGTGGATGTATAATGCAAGTGTTTTGAAAAGAGTAGCATTTAATGGCAGAGAAGGTTCATAATGTGAGCATGAATGTGCTTGCCTTCTAGTGGGTGGGCAGAGGTCGTACGTAGGAACTTTTTACCTCTTTGCAAGCCAGATCGTGGTAAGGCAGAACCCATTCCGCTGGCAACATACAGTCTTCCAGTGCTGGCTGTGTATTTTGGGTGGTGGTAGAGTAACAAAGCACTGGCTTGATGCTTGGAGTTAATTCTCCGTTCAAAAGAGTAGCTTAAGAAATTTTAAGTGTTTCCATGTGATGTTGGGTATGATTGACCTGTTGATTGTATTTTATTTTTGTCTAACTTTTTTTTTTCTGTGTGTGTGTGTTTCCCCCCATCCCCATAAAGGGTTGATGTCATGTAATTTTGTGATCATCTAGGAAAAGTGTTTTGTGGACTTTGTAAATTTTACATTGCCCTTTATTTTTTATTTGCTTGTCATTTGTTTTCTGGAATATTCTCTCTCATTACAGACATCTTTAAAAGACTTTTATTCCTACAGGATGTGTATTTCTAACATAAGTAATTTCCATTTGTTACTTGGTCTCTGTGGTTTATGGTTGGACCTAGTAAGACTTGAATCTTTTTGATAGCTGCCGCCAAGCTACTGCTGATGCATTCAGTTCTGATAGAAACTGGTGATTGTGATCTGATGGCAAATTTGGAATTTATACTGAAGATGTTTATAAAATTCAATAAAAAGAGCTTTAATATAAGGAGTATAAAGTTGACTCTGACATGTAGCCAGAAACAAATTTTAGTATTTAAAGAAGTAAACCTTCTAGCACAGTCAGTCTTAGCAAGACCAATGGTTCACATTGCAGTGTTTTTTGCAGGCCTGAGGTAGGAGTTTGTGAGGTGTATTTTGATTATGCTGCAGATCTTTTGCAGGTAGACTTTTCATTTCGGTCTCAAGTGTTAGAGAAAAGTCCTCCCCTAGAAATTGCCATGCAGACAAAATCTCATTTCAAGTCAAAATACGAACCACTTAGATTTGTGTCACTCTTACACTGGGAGACTGGAGACTATTGATAGGTGTTAGCTAAAGGGCATCTGGGTGCTAATTGCTGACCCCAAAGGGTCCAGGTGCTTTGCTGTGGAGACACTTTGGCACGTGCCTGTTCCACCGGGAAGGTATGGTGTGCTTGGCTTCCTGAAGAGTGTCTCTGCTTCCCTCCCAGACAAAGCCTTGCAGAACCCTTCTTCTCAAAGTGCAGGTCATAGAATTGTGTTGGCAAATACTGGAGTGGCGTGAAGTTTAGATTGCTGCCTGTTTGTTGGGACTTGTTTGGTTTTCTTCTTTTGAAAACGGAACTCCATTCTCCTTTGTTTCTCCAATTACAAAAGTTAGTTTAAAATGCATGAGAAGAGGTGATCTACAGCGTTTTCATGTCTGTTGAGGTTTTGTGTCACTACTGTAAGACATGATCAGGACCACTATGTTAATAACCTGTTTGTAAAGCAAGGAACAGCTTACAGAATTTAGCATATTTTACCATAATTGAGTTTCACATTTCATAGGAAATTTAATAGAAACTGAACTTCAGTGGTGGAAGGAATGAAAGTGGAAGTCTTTCCTAGGTGGACTTGGAGAATAGTCTCTGTGGTGCGAATAGGCATACTCTATCAAGAGATGTTAAGTTTTCTGTACATTTGAAATATCCTCAAGGATTTTCCTCCAAATTCCTTTTTGTAGACAAAAATGCATGTCTGGAATTTGACAAAGTAGTTTTTTTCTTCTGAATGTAGTGAAGGGATGGATTTGTTTATTACTTCTACAAAACTTAATTGCGTATTCTGTTAATGCTTGTAGTAAACACTGACTACAAATGTAGTCTCTTGTTACTTATTTTGTATTTTTTGAATTACTGTAAGCCATTTTAAATAGAACAGAGAAGAAAAATGGTGCTGATTCAAGTATCTGCTTTCATATGTGGTGTCTGATATTTTTGTGTCAGGATCCTGGAAGAAGGAAGTGCCTTATGATTAGATATGATTTCTTTTGGATATGTGGAATCCAGATTTATAACTACTATTGTTCCAATTCAGAAATCCTAATTTTACAATGTGTTTTATCCTTTATCTTTTTTTTTTTTTTTTTTTTTAGTTTAGGCATGTGTATTATTTATACTACCACAAGATAGTTTTCTGAATTTGCTGCATACTACTTCTCTTTTTATGCAAAGGATTTTTCTGCATACTCCTAGAATATCCTTACTTACCATAAATCTGTATTTCCACTTTTAACACCCTTCTGAAAAGCACATCTGAGTGTGATACACTTACCAGACACAGACATATTTAAAAAGAAAATTAACTAAAAACGTATTGTCATATTTGTCCTTTTGCATCTGTGGAGACTTTCACATACAAAAGGATATACGTGTTGTGAGCACCTATGATGCTATAGTTTGGTTAAAATGTATGGAGCAGAAAGTTCTTTTAGATTGTAAATAAAAGACTTTGTTGTTGTTGTTGTTGTTGCTGACACAGAGACAACTACGTGGCAACTGCTATCATTGTGTGCCATATCTGTCATAAGACTATATTGAAAAGTGGCTCAGAGTTTACTAAAATTGTGTCATTTGACATTTCTGGCTCAGAATCCACACTTCATGAAATCTTCATCTGTTACTTGTTGCACAAAGCATCAAAGAACATCAACATGAAATAACTGGGTATTGCTTTGAGGTTTTCCTTCTGTTTGCTTCTTCCTTTGATAATGTTCAGGGTACAGTGAACCTCGTAACGGCAAAACAGACAGAACAGTGGCCAAGCTTCTGTTCAAGCCGGGCTCAATTCGGTGCTTTTCCAGACCTTTGACACTACCAGAAAAGTCATGTTACCTGGAAATTGTGACTTTGGATAAACAAAGTGTGTGTTCTAAGTGAAGTCACATAGGCTATGAAAACTGTTTTCAAAAAGTATTCAAAAGACTGAACTAAGCTGTAATAAGCTTTTGCTTAATGTGTCTTGTCAACCATAGCATAAGCAGCAGTACTACCTACCTAGTAATTACTAGAACCATTACTGTATTTAAAAAATCCAGCACTCAAAAGTTCATATTTTTTTTACTTTTATGCTGCACTGATACTTACCGTGGTTGAGCATCGGAGCCTTTAGGTCCAGCCCATTGACCTCTTGGGAATGTGATAAGCAGCTGAAAATAAAATTCACTATAGGAAGTGTCAATCAACCTAGATTTGGTGCACAGAGCTCTTGATAATATGTTTCAAAAATTATACTAGGCCAGCAATTTGCTGGCAGTCTATATTAAATATACCTTAAAGCAAGTTCAAAATATATGTGACTCTTGCCTAGGGGAGAAGCTAGTATTCAAGTTTTTTGTCTTTGGAGTTTTTTGGATTTGGTGGGGTTTGTTGTTGTTGCTTGGTTTTGTAAATAATAGCCAGCTGGATAGAAAGTTGGCTGGATGTGGTGAAAATGCAATTAACTGAATAAAGATATTTAGCCTTGCTTTGTGTTAGCAACAAAGCTTGTAATTCTTGATTATTTCTTTTTTTAATTTATTTTTTTCTCTTGAAGAAACTCTCAGTAGTAGGTACTGTGAATGTGACTTAAATAAGATTGGTATTACCTGGGAAGAGTTGTTACTAGTTCTTAGCCTCTTGCATTTTGAAAGGCAATTTGTGTGTATTGTTTATGGCACAGGTAATAATAGCAGAATAATCAGAGCATTTAATTATGTATATTTGCAATATGTAAAATTGAGAGATTAAAAATATAGAGTAGCTACTAATATTTTGAGAATGTAGAATGGAAAATCTGTATGAAACAACGATGGCTCACAGTTTTCACTATAGATCCTTATAAAACTGGTGTTTTGTTGCTAATCATGTTTTTGAATGTAAAATTGAAACAGTAGCCAGCAAAACATCTAGTAGGTGTTTGATTTTACGTACGCGAGTAATCCTTGATATTTCAGCTGAGCAATCAGTCTGTCTAAAATTAAATAGGTGTTGAAGTACTTTGCTGGTTCAGGGACAAAGTCAAAGAAAAAGCTTTTGTACATTTAGGCAGCAATTTAGAAAAAAGTTTTCCACATATGAGAAATATTCATTCCTTGGCAACAAAGAGGGGTCTAAAAGGAAGTGTTTCCCTAATTGGGGGGGGCACGCAGGGAAAGCCTGGATAGCCATGTTCAGTTTTGAAGCATGTTTCTTCTTCCTACTCAACTGCAAAATTACCATGTAAATTTAAGAATGGTGATTGCAGGACAGGTTAACTGATCTGACACTGTGTCTCACGAGAGCAGAGGTTAAGGAAGCCAATGCAGTCACAGTCCTTAGTATCTGAAGCTTAAGTGGAGGTGCCTCACAAATCCCTACTATTACCCTGGTGGGACTCAAAACTGCTCAAACCGTGCAGTGGACTGCAA